TACAGTGATGTTAAGTGACACGAAGGGGACACCTGGGAACCCTGACCCAGTGGCATTTCACTCAGGACCTTAACCAGGTGTGAAAATTGAAGAAAAAGATGTGTCTTTTCCTGTTTATTTGCAGGGGTTCCTTGTAGACTCTGGATACCAATCCTTTTCTGTTTTCTACGTTGCAAACATCTTCTCCCAGTCTCTGGTTTGCCCATTAATTCATTGTGGCTTCTTTCCTGTATGTTTTATATTTTAATATAGTCATGTATCCATATTATTCTTTAAGGTCAGCACACTGTGTGTGTGTGTGTGTGTGTGTGTGTGTGTTAGGAATCTGATTTTATTTTACTTTTTGTATGGATAGACAGTTGCTCAGAAACACTTTTTAAAATTGTGATAAAATTTATATAACATAAAATTCACGTTTAAATGGGTAAGCCATGTTTACGTGCACAGGTCAGCGGTATTTAATGCATTCGCCGTGTTGTGCCAGCCTCACTACTATCTAGTTCCGGAGTCCGGGAGGAGACCATGTATCCATTCAGCAGTCATTCCCACTCTCCCTCCCCAGCTCCTGGCAACCGCTTATTTGCTTTCTGTCTCTGTGAGTTTGCCTCTTTTGGGTATTTCCTATAAACTGAGTCATACAATACATGGCCTTTTGTGTCTGACTTCTTTCACTCAGCATAATGTTTTCAAGGTTCATCCATGTGGTAGTGTGAATCAGTATTTCATTCCTTTTTATGCCGAATAATACTCCATTGCATGGATGTACCACGTTTTATTTATCCAGCCATTGCTTGAAGGACACTTGGGCTGCTTCCACTTTTCTGCTACTGTAAATAGCAATGCTATGAACATTCCTGTACAAATTTTTGTTTGCACACCTGTTTCCAATTCTTTTGGGTCCAGCAACACTTTCTGAAGTCTGTTCTTCCCCTGCTGATCTGCAGTCCCACTTCTGGTCGACACTGAGTTTCCACATGTGTGTGGGTCTCTTTCTATGCTCCTTATTCTGTCCCCGTGGTTCAATAATCCATCCTGGCACCAACCCTACACTGTTAGAGTGATGCTGAAGCTTTCCAGCACATACTTATGGCTCTTTTTCCTCCCACCTAGAGACTTTTGCACATGGCTCTGCTTGGGTCACTCTCCCTCAAGTCTTCATCTAGCCAACTCCTCCTTCTCCTGGTCTCAGGGTCCTCTGCACCCTGTATTTATCCCTCAGAGTCCTGATCACAATGGTCCTGAAATCATTGATTGGGTGGGTCTTGGTTTAATGTCTTGGCTGCAGACTCCTCCAGGGCTATAATGCTGTCTCGCTTGTTTGCCTGGATGTCCTCAGCTTGAAGAACAGGGGCTGACAGATAGTAGGGTCCCAATAAGTATTTGTTAAAAGAATGAAGGAGGTAAGGGAGGAAGGTCTTCTGGCCCCAGAGCACTTTGGTCATACCTAGAGAGAAGGTTGAACAAAATTACTTAAATTGCCTGTGCCTCGGCTTTCTTCCCTGGAAAATGGGGATGTGATTAGGGTGTGCAGAGGATGAAGTGAGCTCAGGTGTGTTCGAGGCGCTTGGAGCAAAGCCTAGCAAGTGATCAGAGCTACCTGTGTTTACCTGCCCCGCACTTCCCCTCCGTGAACTCCTCGAACTCCTGTGCTGATCCTGTAGGCTCCAAAGCCTTTTCTCTAACAGTTATCCCATTTTGATTTTGCCCCTCCCATGAACTAGTCATCTTATTCCTTTCAGTATATGATGCAAAGGAGTCTCAGACGGGAAGAATGACTGATCTAAGGCCTTAAACCTAGAAGCCCTGATCCCAAAGCTAACGTATGTAATCTTGAAGCTGTATTTCCAGCTCAGCGACCCAGTCACTGGAATTGCCAGTTAGATTTTGAGAACTATATATAGCTCCTCCCAAAACCAAAACAAGACCAAACAACAACAACAGCAACAACAAAAAACCCTTCCAGATCCATAGTATTGACTTAAATTATTTTTATTTTATTGTTACTGAAATAGGTATAAACCTGAAATTAAGCAGGAAGTCCTCATGCTCAGAGCTCTATAAACAAACCATAAAACCAAAACAAAATTTCTACGTAGATACAAACACAACCTCAAAACCAATAAAATCCAAACTAACAGCATTAAATTAATGTGACTGATGATGTGTTGCTGAAATCAAATCTCCTGCATCAAGTTTAATGGTAGCAGAGTGATGTTTTTACATGTCTCATCTCCTGTGTCATCATCTTTTTTTTTTAACGTCTTCATTGGAGTATAAATGCTTTACAGTGTTGTGTTAGTTGCTGCTGTATAACAAAGTGAATCAGCTTTACGTATACATATATCCCCATATCCCCGCCCTCTTGCATCTCCCTCCCACCCTCCCTATCCCACACCTCTAGGTGGTCACAAAGCACCG